GCAGCCCAACCCCAGGAGGGGTCCTCGGCCGGCAAGACTAAAGACGAAGGGGGCGTCTCCCCTGCTTCCTGCGGCGTCGGTGGCCAACTGAGGTGGAGGGAGGCTGCGGCGGCGAAGGCGACAGTGGTGGCGGTGCCATGGCAGGGCTCGCAGGTACTGTAGCGTCGACCTCCTGGGGACGGGGTGAGAGGACCTCCATGCGGCCTCGCCGCCATGTTGTCCCTTCGGGGTCACCTTAGGCGTCCACCCGTACCTCTCTGGGGTTTTCTTTCCGCGCACTCTGGGGGCCACCCCTGTCCGGTGTCACATGATCGCCCGCTTTGACCCTAGCCTGGGCCTGGGGTGGCGAGGTGTCCCTTCCTGGCCTGAGGGCGGGCCAGTGGACTCCTAGGTTCTCGTCCTGGCCCTAAGGTCAGTGCTCGCCGGTCTGCCCCAGGGACCGGGCGTATAGAGTCGGGAAGCGCGGTACTGTGGCCTGCGACCACCCCCTCTTCGCCTCCGGGCCCAAAGCAGGAAGCCCAGCTTCTGGGAGGCCTGTCACTCTGTCCCTTCCACTTCATTTGCATTTTTTAAGTCAGAAGGGCGTGGGGGAGAGGGGAGAAAAGGGTCTCCCACCCCGGGCCTCCGCTTTAGTATATGGGGTGATAGGTTGACGCTCTGCTTTGAGTCACGGGTCCCCCTCCAACTTTACAGCAAGTCTAAACACCCGTTTCCTTTCCTCCAATGTGTACGAGGAGTGGCCCTCAAGGGCAGCTGAAGGAACGGAATGCTGACACACTAATGGCCTGGAAAGAAAAATGGGGGATGGGGGACAGTTGCTTTTTCCTTCCCTCTTCCAAATCTTTAATTTCCTTCCAAGCCTCCGTATCCCTTTTCACCGTTAAATGTTGGGACAGTCTGGGGTCTGTCCTAGGAAAGAAATGGTCTCTCAGTTTATGGGTTCGGATTGTGTTTTATCCCTTTCAGGAAACTGGTGTGTTGGGGACAGCTTCTGTTTGCCCTGCATGACATGGTCCAACCATTCCCTCAGCCCTCTGGACAGCAACACCAAAACCAGGACCAAAAAAAAAAAAGTTCCACCTTAAGTGCTATTGTCAAGTGTTAGGTTTTGTTTATTTGTTCGTTTTAAATCAGAGACTAATTAATGTCAAGCATATTTGTTAAAGATTCAGAGCCCTGGTCAGTTTGCAGTGACCAAACCAATTCCGTATCTGAAATTGGTCTTGTTAGAATTGCTGCCAAAAACACTTTAACCTTTTGTCTATAATATGTAGTTTCAAAAAGGAATCTGGAGGTCTGGGTTTGGCTGTCTCTTTTGTTGTTCTCTAATCTTTGAAACATATGCATTCCATTTCAAGCCTGTCACTGTGTGATATACCAAGAACCATGTGTTGCCTGCCTCTGACTTCCTGTTCTGGGAGTGTTTAGGAATCTGCATCCTGCTGGGGTATGGGTCCTACGGGAGGGCGAGGGGGAACAGGATCATTCCCAGAGAAGACGGTGACATGTCTCTGGGGCATATAGAGGAAGTCAGAGGTCATCAGGGGAAAAGAGACTGTTATTAGATTCATGTTTGTGTGTGTGTGTGTGCAGGTTAAATCTTTGGAGGTAAAAATAACTGCAAATTCAGAATCTCACTTTAGGGTGCTGGCTCCTGAGTAGATACTAGTTTGAAAATAGGTATCTAGCAAGTGGCGCACAGCAAACCTGCTCCCTCATCCAACCCAGATGTAATATGCGGTTGCTGTCCTGCAGCTGAAACTCCCCAGGTCTGCCTTCAGTTATAATCCAAATCCTCCACAGAGAAAGGTTAACAGTGTCACATAGCACCCCCAACCTTTGAAAGTCGTGGTACCTATACTCCCCACGGCTTAACTTCAACTGGTTAGGCTAGGAAACCAACATCTTGGGGCATTCATCCCCAGAGTCCTGCCTGTTGCTGGAGTCCCACAAAGCTATTCCAGTCCCCTCACAACTCATCTGCTTTGTCCTTGGCTTTTTGGAGGCAAAGCATTGTGGGGGTGGTAAAGACTGTTTAAAGAAAAGGAGAGGCCTGTGGACTAAGGGCTTTGCAATAAAACTAGTCATTTTCAACTCTTCCCATTGCTCTCCGAATAAAATGTTTTAATGGTATCACTTCTGGAAAAAATTTCATAAACAAGATAATGTCTGGACCAGACTTGAAGGCATTGCACAGGAATAGAAATCAAATGCATCCTTTTCATCTGCTGTGGTGGGTTGTATTTGCTGCCAGAACATGAGAATTTGGGGATGGGGGACAAAAGGGCAGAGTGGACATTGCTTATTCAAGCCCACCCATGTGGGTATAGGCCACCAGGGCAGCCTGTGCCTGGAAGTTTGTTATCTCACTGTGCCATGCCCAGAGCCCTACTGGTGGAAGGATGGAAGGAGCCCTCCGATGGGCTTTGCCAAGACCATCTGCAAAGGCTCTGGGGCTACCAGAAGCCCCTTGCCTTTTAAAGGAGGCACAGGAGGCTAAGGGGGCCTTACTGTGTCCAGAGCAGCCATACCCTTCCATGCTGCTGCTGCTTATCTCCCTGAACCCAGCCACGTCTAACTGGACTGAGGTTAGAGCGTCTGGGGCATTGGGGCCATAGGCACACCTCTTGGAGGTTCTGAGGGGCGGGGTGACCTTCACTGAGAACACAAGTTGAAATATGTTCGTGGTTCCATGGATGTAGTGTGGAAAGCCACAGAAACTCCCAGTTTTGAGGCTGCCAAGGTGTGGGCTCAGAAGGGAGGTGTGGACATTGACTGCTGCTGAGTCACCCTGGGGCAAGAGGAGGCCTGCCTCACCTTTAGGCGGTGGTAAAAGCAGGAGCTTCACAGCCCAAGGAAGATGGAGTCTCTGATTACACATCTCCACCCCAGTCCCCATGAATCCTGATTGTCATTTTGATGGCAGAATGTCTCTAGTATGTTGGGGTTTACTGGGATCTCGGCTGCACTTTTAAAAAGGGGAACTGGCCAGGTTTCCTAGGCTGATTGATGGCAAAACCAATTACCAGAACTTAGGTCTGCGCCTGCACCCCTTGATTCACTGGTTTTGAATTGGAATTATGTACCTATAGGGTGCTGGTGGTTGGGCTGAGACAGGCAAGGGACTTGCTTAGAAGAGGAAAACATTATCAGGCTCAAGGGGGAGAGGTGCTTTGTGTTCCAGAGCATTTGTGACAACTGTGACTAAGGGATTTGAGGAAGTGACAGAAAGATTTATGGCCCTCCAACTCATTCCCTTGGTGTTGACCCAGGAACAGGTGTGTAATGACAGGGACACATAAAGCCAGAGATGAGGCTGAACAGGCGGCAGGGCCCTTTGGCGAGGCAGGCAGCTTATCCCATGTAAAAGCCCTGACTCACTGAGGGGTGGGAGAGGGGAGAGAAGTCAGGAGCCAAGCAGCCAGCCCACCCTGATAATGGCAGGGGAGAGGGCCAGGGACTTGATAAATGCCCCTAAAAATATGGAGGCTCATGCTAGGAGGAGCAGAGAACCCAGTAAAGGGGGGAGTGAGCTGGAGAGAAGTTCCTGGGGGTGGGAGGACTCTCCAGAAAATAGCAAGGCCTGCAGGATGCCATTGTGGTGGCCCTGATAGAGGTTCTAGGGCCTGAAGGGATGAGCTGGGCAGAGAAGATGCCACACCGCACCTCTTATCCCACACTCACTGTCCCAGCCACTGCCATTGCCCCCTGCTCCCCACAGTGCTCATTTCCTTGGTACCCCTGAACAGAGATAAAGCTTTGTATTCTGAAGTCTTGATCACCCCCTTGGTGAGAGCTACTCCCACCTTTGCCCCTGCCCAGTGACTGCCTGGCCTGCCAAGGCCCTTATCCCAGGATTATGTGAAGGTACCCACCCCTCTGGGAGGGTGAAGTGGTCCCTTATTCCAAGAACACAAGTGAAGATGTCCACTTTTAACTTTGGGGAAGGGAAAGTATTCCTTTATTTCAGGACAGGTTGAGATGGAACTGAGTGTACAAAGGTTCCAGTTTATTCCCATTTTGTTGCCTCCCCCTGCCCCAAGTAGTGTGCCTTTTCCATAATGGGTACATCAGCCCAGTCTTAGAGGTATGTGTCGAAGCCACAAAAGAAGTCACACGAGACAATTTTTTGGTGCACCTTCACCGCCCCGCAGGGTCCTGGGACTCTGTGCGAGATGGGGGAGGTACTGGTTTTTTATTTTTTGTAGAGGTGGTCCCTGTCCTCCAGGAGCTTACAATCTAGCTGGGGAGACACAACTAATGCACACTTATACAGTCAATACAATTAGCGATTACCACAATATTGACCACAACTGCATGAGACCAGGGAAAAGATCAGTGAGGGGCTGGGGGCTCAGAGAAGGTGTTTTAGTAAAGATGGGATTCGTTTTCTGGTTGAATAGGTCCAAATTGAGTGACACATTTCTTTTGAGTGGGAGGGCTTGGGGGACAGTGAATGGGAAAGGGAATTGGAGGGAGCAAAGGCAGCAAGGCTGGAATGCACGTGCATAGGCTAGGGACCGGCAAGAGGGCCCCAGTCTTAGCAACTCTCCTCCCTTATCCATGCCCTCCAGTCCTGCCACACAGGCACGCAGTTTGCCTTGTCTGCTGCACTGAGATTCAGGGCTTTGGCTGGTGATGTTGGAATGTCCATTCTGATGGCTAGTGTAGTTGTCTGGATCTCTGCGGTGGCGCCTGCTGGCATGGCCGTTGCTACTGGGCTCGGATGTTGCTGTCCCGACTTGATCCAGATCAGAATGCATTGCCGATCCCAGATCTCAGGGGTCTGCTCCTCCCCATGACCCCTCCCCCTCCCCCCGGCCCGCAGTGGGACAGGTGCAAAGGGGTTTGGAAGGGATCTGGCATTGTCGTCGTCGGTGCTGCTTCTCTGGGGGCCTACCAGCCCCTCACTGACCTTGGCAGGTGCTCCTCTAGCGAGAGGGCACAGGGGACCCCCCATTCCTGTGCGGCACTGGCTCCCATGCTGATCGATTTGCACAGGAGCACCTGGTGACACAGCCGCCCAGGGGTGGGGGCTGGGGCCTCAGTTGGGGGCTCGCTGCCGACGCTCTCCCAGCACCTGCCGCCCGGTCCTCGACACGGTGTACGCCAGCTTCTGCAGGGAGTACCTGAACACCTGTGAGAGAGCCAGGGCCTACCCTTAAAGGCAAGCAAGCACCCGCAGTGTGTCTGCAGCGCTGCCAGCCCGCCCCCGCCCCACCTCCTGCCCCGCCCGCCTGTCCTACTAGGAGAGGCGGTGAGGGTGCAGCTTGTCCACAAGTCAGGGCAGCTGGAGCTTTTCCAACTGTGCTGAAGGCTGCATGTCGGCAAGCTGATTGGACGCACAGCTTAGGTATACCTCACTTCTCGCAATGGGCTGGGTCCCTGGAGGATTTCGAAAAGCAAATCCTACCCAGTAAATGCAGCATTCCAGGAACACCTTGAAGGAAATATGCGATTCCTTTGGCAAAGGATTCCTTTAGCAGGGAATTCTTCCTGCAATGGGTTCTTTTAGGGTAAATAATATTATGGGCAAAGCACTTTCTTCTGATTTTTTTTTTACACAAATCGCTTTGTCTCTATTTGATTTTCTTTCTAATAAAGCGAATTGTCCTTTTTTGGAAGTGATATTTTGTTGCATTTTTTCCTGCAAAAGCCTTTCCCTCTATCCTTCTCAAATCACTTTTATCCAATTGATTTTTTGTTAGCTCCTGTGCCTAATTTTTTTCTGCAGTGCGCTTTTTATCTAATATATTTTTTTCCGCCAAGAGTTTTTGTCTGATTTATTCTTCCTGCAATGCGCATTTTCTCTAATTTTTTCCAGCGAATTATTTTTCTCTAATAAATTGTGGGTGTTTTTTGATGGTGTTTTTAAGTGGTTTTTTTTGAGAAGTGCCTTTTTCCAATTTATTTCTTCTTTCACCCCTGCAAGCGCAATATATACATATTTTCAAAGAAAATCCCCCCGCAATGCGCAATTTTTTAAGCAGAAAATTTTCGCTATTCGAGCCCTAAATGCAAAACAGAAGTGCCCCGCCTCCCTCCTGGGGTCTAGTCTGGGTGTAGCGGGGTTTTCTTACCACGTTGGTCGCTAAGAGCCTTGGCGATCGTCCGCGGCTGGCGCCCGCCGCGCCCCAACTCTTTGTTCCCAGCTGGGCGCGGGCACACTGGGAAGGGTCTGAGCGAGGAGGAGGGCGCAGGGAAGCGGCAGGGGCGTGCGGAGCCGGCCGCGGCACTCGGAAGGGCAGGGATCACGGCACTCAAGATAGGACGGGTTCGGGAGGCGGCAATCGCGACGTGGGCTTGACGGTTCAGTTGGCAAGCATCCGAACCCCTCTCCCACCCAGAACCCGGAGCACTTACCTGCAGCAGCACGCGGAAAATGTACCAGCCAATGATGAGCAGTTCAGCCGAGGCTGCCGCCACTGCCGCCATGGTTTCAAGAGGGGTGGGTGGGTAGGTGGTTGAGATCTAGCGCCGCCGGAGGCTACCGGTTTGCCGAGGTCCGCTGGTCTCTCGGAGTCCGCTGTTGGGCGCACTGCCGCAGCCGCGGTGGCCGTGCTTTAAGTATCCGCCTGCCACCTAAGTGCGCATGCGTGCTTGGGGGGGTTGTCCATGAGGAGGGGTGGCCGGGGGCGCTCCTCATTCGCCAGAAGAGGAAAAAATAATCCATCTGCTCTTTCCACACCGACCCCCGCCTCCAGAGATCCCCTTTCCAGAAGATTCCGTGCTGTGCCCGCTTTTGAATTTTAGTGTAAAACGGAGTGGAACTGCAACTCTGAGTAATGCATAGCACGAGAGTAGGGGGTGCGTGCCTCTTGGTGCTGAACCCCTCTCTCCAAGTCCTAGGCTGCAAATTAAAGCCCAGGGTCCAGTGCCACGTGAGAACCACCTTGGGTGCGGATGGAAAACCAGGAAAACCTCACTTAAAGAGGGATCATCTGCCCCGCAGAACAAAAAGGTGTCGCTCCCAGGAGCCTTGGCTTCACAGGCCCCTGCTCCGCACTTTTTTAAGTATTCAACATGTTTGAAAGCCCATGTCCTCAGCTTCACGAGAGTACCCGACTTTCTAACCTTTCCCTGATGCCTCGTGTCCCGCTCTTGGTGGTTACTAGATCAGGATCTACCACGGTGGCGATTGTAGGGAGCCGAGTCCAGGCACTGAGCTCTAGGCACAAAAGCGATAGTCACCGGGTATCTAACTCTGTAAAAGGGATGCAGGAGGGCTTGGCGCTTTTGTATGCGCAAACGAGGATGGGATGAGCTCTCCCGAGGAGCGGTCAGAATGTGCTCTGGGGTAGTTTTCTGCTTGACATATCATTTCAACCTCTTGTTTTCTGCTTCTTCCCCACCCCAGACTCTGGTAGGTCTTAACTCTGCCACCGAGGTTCTCTGTACCCTTTTTGGAACGGGGTTTTGCTATCTGCTGCAGCTTGGCTTAGAAGGGCGGTGGGAAGACCCGAACAGGGTCTGCAAGCATGGCCCCGGCGTACTCGTGGTCCGCCACTCTAGAGTACCTCTATCCTCAAGCTCCCTAGCACAGGGGCGAACTGGTATTTGCCCCTAAATTAATTTTGATTAAAAGCTCATAGAGGTCAGATTCTGTACAGTGCCAACAGCAGATGGAGAGTGTAAGAGATCCAAGCAAGGTTAACTTGGACAAAGTAAAGTGGTGATATTTTTTTTCCTATGATGACTTTTGAAGAAGTTGTCTAGTTTTGGCAAATGACACTGGGCATTTTGAAAAAAACACAGAAACACACACACACACACAAAAAAAACTCATCCCAGGCTACCATCTTAAAACAAAACATTTGATGATGGTGCTGCTACTGAGGCTTCCCAGAGCTTAGGCGAATCCACTGTCTGTGATCTCTGGCCAACAGTGCTCTGGAACCTGCTTTAGCTCACCTCTGAGCCTCTGCTTGAGAGATACTAGATACAAACCCTGCCCTTAATTCATGCGGTCACAGCACTGAGCCCATGGCCATCTGGTGGCAACCACAGGGCGGTATTGTGAGGTCTGGGCCCCTTGAGGACGGGCCGCAGCCCCAGGAGGTGATACATGATCTCTGCTGGGCAGGGCCCAGGCAAAGCCAGTCCACTGTGCCGGACCTGCCGAAGAGCCCTCTGGCCAAGCCCCCGAAAAGCCCAGGGGAGACACCCCAGAAGGCTTCCGGCCATGGTGATTTGGAGAGGAATAGACTTCCATGGGTGGGCAGGGAGGAAAGGGCATTCACATTTGCTGTTGTTAACCATGATCCATTTTCCCAAATAAGTATACATTCTGTTCCTGTTTTTTTTTTTTTTTGTCTGTCTGTCTGTTTTTTGTCTGTTTGTCTGTTGTGTTGACTTTTCTCTTCAGGATCCCTGCTGCCTTGGTGATCCCGGGCTGACAGCCAGAGAGCACAGCGGCTCAGCTCCTGGAGAGTGAGGGTTGAAGAAAGCAGAGGGCAGCCACCCGCGCCCGCTGGCTCCCATTAGGTTGGTTCCTGCAGCGGTGCCCGGCGGCCTTGGCGAAGGCCCTGCCCGGCAGAGATCATGTATTGCCTCCAGTGGCTGCTGCCCGTCCTCCTCATCCCCAAGCCCCTCAACCCCGCCCTGTGGTTCAGCCACTCCATGTTCATGGGCTTCTACCTACTCAGCTTCCTCCTGGAGCGGAAGCCTTGCACAATTTGTGCCTTGGTTTTCCTGGCAGCCCTGTTTCTCATCTGCTATAGCTGCTGGGGAAATTGTTTCCTGTACCACTGCTCTGATTCCCCGCTTCCAGATTCGGCGCACGACCCTGGTGTTGTGGGCACCTAACAGCCTGCCCGGTTAGCTTTCCAAGGAAGCAGAAGACGGGAGGGGAGGCATTGACATAGGTCATAAAAGCATTGGAGTTCAAATCCCGCAGCCCTGCGGGTGCCACATTCCTAACGCTGCCTTTTTGGCCTGTGATGTTTTATCCTTACAATGTGAATAATGGCACTGACCAGTGCTTTAATTGTAGAGTCCTATAGTCATGGGTGGTCTTGTGATTGTGTGTGTTCTGTCCCCATCTTGGTCCCTGGCTGGCAGGATAACCACCACCCCCCTCGCCTCATTCCTGCGAGGAGTCTGCACCCATCCTGGTCAGCCACCCCAGCATGACCTGGGCAGATAAAATGCCAGTCTTGTCACCTATGTGACCTCCTCCTTATCAGGGTCTCCTCCCTTCCCAGAATGTTATGGCTTCCTCATCCTGTCCCAGTTTCTCTTTAGTTCCCTTCTATCCCTTTCCTTCTTTGGGAAGCACCTGTCCAAGACAGGGCTCATTTTTGCACTTATCTCGAATTTAAAGAGATTGCTGACGCCCGAGAGCCTCGCTTTTTCATCTTCTTTTCCTGGTCTGCAGGCTAGATAGAAACATGTCTTGACTGTTTGTTGTCCACGAACCTCTAGTATTTTCTCCACTTCATTTTTAAGAAAGAAGTAACAGATACCTGTTGCTCTTTCACTTGGGTGCCTGGGCTCCATGCTTACCAGCTCAGCCTCACTTCCTTTGCTCTTCCTCCTGCCTTTTCAACTCCTGAGGAGGGGAGCCTCAGTGTATCTCCCGTGCATGCCCTGCAGGAGATGTGGTGTGTCCTCATAGATCTAGCAGTCCCCAGCCGAGTGAATGGAGAGTACTTTTGTGTTTCAAAACAGCCATGATCCCTTTGATAGGTGTTTGGATATTTCTTGGTGTGCCGTGCGTGTGTGTGTACGTGTACAAATACATGTGTATATTCCTTTTAAAGAAGCTTTATCGAACGTGTCTGACTTTGAGGTTTAGCAATAGCTAGCTATATAGTAGGTGCCGCTGCAGTTTTTATTTGGCATGGGGATTGCAGAGTGAACAGCACACTGGACTCCAAGGTGGTTCAGACAAGACAGAGGGGAACAAAGGCCATCGTCCTCGTGCCAGGAGCTTCTTCAGTCCTACACATATAGACTGTGTTACGAAGAATACAAAAGAAGACTTTGACTGTCACTTGCTTTTTGCTTTTTCTGCGCTTCAATAATGAGTGTTGGCAAGTGAGACTTTCTCCTGGCCCCTGCCCACTGGGGACCAGCAGGTTGTCCTTCCAGCCTAAACCATCTTATCTTGCCTGAGGGGATAAGGAGGTGGGCCAGGCAGAGGACAAAACTGGAGGCTGTCCATCTAGGAGATGGGACCTTGAGGCCACACTTGTGGAATATTTGGACTGCTATTCTGGAGCTTTTATTTCTGGTGTGTTCATTGCACAGCTGATTGAAATGTTTAATAAAGCTTTATAAACTTTACTTTGTGGTCGTATATGGCTGCAGTGCACGCTTTGGATTTCTAAGCTGGTTGGGGCAGGAGGTAGCATGGAGGGGCTGAGTCCTTGGCACCAGAGTACCTTAGGCCGAAAATGTGCAGATGGTGGGGTCAGGGGAGGAGGAGCAGGCGGGCTGGCCAGGCGGTGAGCGGGAGGGAGTCCGAAAGTTCTCAGAGACGAGACATTTGCGTTTCTCAGCTCCTATGGCTTCTCGCCTGAAACTGTTCCCTCCATAGGAGACTTGAGTAACCGATCCCTTGACAAACAGCTTAAGACAGCTGGAGCTCTAATCATCAAGGATTTTTATGGTGCTGCTTTTGAAGTAAAAATAAAGTGAAACCCCTTATGGCATTTCAAGTGGAAAAATAAATACGGCAGGCCCACCAACCCAGGGGGCTTAAGGCTATGGCTGCAAGTGTGAGTGGTGTGGTTCCGTGTCGTCGGTGCACACATGATCCCATGGCTGTGACCTTGGAGACAAAGCCGAGTAGCTTGTCAGGGCCCTGTGCTAGGTGTCTACCTCTCCCTTTTCCTTCTAGAAAACATAACAGGAGCACTGTCTGTCCAAGGCATAGGGCTGCTTGAGGGTTTATTGAGATAACAGTTGTGAAAGGGCTTTGGTAATTTCATAGGAGATAACCTGTTTTACCTTCATTTTTAAATTTATTGCTATTAAGTTTTGTGTGCTTTTTCCCTGCGCTTTTAAATCACCACATTGCTTTAAATTGTTTTAAAAACATTGCTTGTCATTGTTTTCTTTTTTTCTTGATCAAAACTTGCCTAAGATTTGTCTATTTTAAAGGTGTTTTCAAAGAACTGAACTTTATTGATTATACCTGCTGAATATTTTTCCTATCTGATTCTTTTGTGCTTTTATCTCTGAATTCTTCTTTTCTGGGTTTCTAGATATATTTCCTGGTTCAGCAAAGTCTTGACAAGCTGAAGAGTCATACACGTGGAAAGGATGGTTTGTTCAGCAAACATTGAGCCCCCCTGTACCAGGCTTGCAGGGGATTTCAGGGGTGAGACCCTGGCCTGTCTCTCCAGGAGGGCATGATTCTAGCCTAGTGGGAAGACTTAGGAAAACCGACAATTGCAAATTCCAAAAACAAAACAAACAAACAAAAAGGGCTTTTGTGGCTTCGCTCTCCTGTGGAGGCACCTGGGTGATGACTGAAGCCAAGATTATTGCTTATTTTGGTCTCCCTCTGAAAGCAGCTCTCTCTCTCTGTCGTAGGTCAGGCCCACTTAAGAGTCACAAACAGGCCTTCCTCTGAAAGATTTGTGGCCCTTTCCAGCAAGGAGCCTGTAGCCCACCCCCTCCCAAGGTGACTGCCAAATCAGCATTCTGTCTGTCTAGCAGTGCCTTCCACCTTGCCAGGACAGCACTGTCAGCACCCTGTGCCCTCTTCCTGAAAATGAGAAGTAGACACCTGTGCTGGACCAGGCATTAGAAAACCACACCCTGTAACTCCTCTGGTCCCTAAGGTTCC